TTCTGTCCGGTATTTATTTTTTCTTGCGTGAAAGTGGGTGAGGACGTGTGTTGAATTTACAAGTGCGCCCAGCTGCATCAGGAACAAGCTGATGCTGAGGGTTCTGGATGGTGGAACTGAAAACTGTTAGTATAGATGGGAGAAACCATGGTGTTAGATATAGCAAAACTGAGAGGGCTGTGATGCGGCGGGCGCTCAGTTTGGATTTTCTCCCCTAGTAGAGGTATCAGTAGTGAGCCGTGCTGCTGAGTGTTTTGTATAGTCTGCTGTGTTGAGAGGCGAGTGTATGGGTGCAAGGGATTAGACTCTTACTCCTCTTCCTACGTCTGGGATAGCTCAACAGCATAAGTGAGATACAGGAGGAAATGGGCCAGTGTCCTTATCAGCTGAGAACAAATTGGTTGTTCCCAAGTGCTCAGGTTGTTTGTCGCATTCGGCTGGAAACCGCTCACATCCAGCGTGCCCAGGGTGAAGAGCTCTCAGCCTGGAGCTGGTCCAGATCTAAAGCGCTGCACAAGTATGTAGGGAGCCAAGACACTGCTTAGCTGTTACTAAAAGGTCTGGGCTTGTCACCTGACCCTGCCCCAAGATCATACTGTAGTTCATTTTATTCACATTTATTCAACAGCGCTTGGAGCATTCACTTCCAGGTTAGTGGAGCACTTGGTTTGGTCCATTTCTGCGACAGCTTCATTAGACTGCAAGTCATAATGTGCAGAGGAAAATTCAGTTCTGTGAGGAAAAGAAAAAAATTCAGAAAGAAAATTCAGTTCTGCTTGAGATCAGGTGAGCAGAAAAGCTGTGCAATGTTTGCCTAAAAATGAACAGATTTAATTCTTTTTCAGTGATGTATCAGCATGTGAATCCAGGGAGAGATGCAACTTTTGGTTACATGAAAGGCAATACTGTACATAGTCCTACAGCTGCTTTGCCTGCAGGATTTCTGTTGAAACCAATTCTTGTTCAGTGCTGTGAAATGACTGTGGAGTTGCGTCTCTGGTGACCCCAAAGCTCAGCCACTCTGCTGGGACCGGTCCTTGCCTCTGGTCACCTCTGTGGTGGGAGAGGCTCCAGGAGGACGCAGCACTTGGGGTCAGAGGACCACACTGAGGGTGCAGGCCTGTGCTGCGATGAAAGAGGATACTCCTGCATATTTGCTGAAAAACAGGGAGAAGACATTTGGCAATGACAATGAAATGGTGAGGCCTTGTTCAGGAATGACCAAAATCTGACTGTAATAGTGTGTATAATAGAAACATAAAATGCATGTGGAATTTAATGCAGCATAGTGAATACATACCTGTATCCGTATAATACGTACAAGTGCAGTACTGACATTTTGCTACTTTAGTGTGGGAAATCACAATTGTGTTTTAGAAAATGGCGCTTTTTTTTTTCAGTCCACAGTTTAAAATTTTGGAGGTTTCAAGGCAGGGAGGTGTATGTCTCCCTCACTCCTGAATTGGTGTGAGCTCAAAGGTGAAGTCTTCATTTTGTAAATTGAACTTAATTTAAGGTGTCTTAAGATGATACGTGGTGAATATTTTCAGATGCTTATTTGCAGGTACTGTTCATTGTGAGTGATTTAGAAGGCTTTCATTTTTCAGTAATCGAATACTGTTCAGTATTTTATTTTACATGCACGTAGATATATGTTGGCTGAGTAACAGCAAACAGAGATGGGGATATTTGTGTGTGTTTCAGTAGTGCCTATAATTTAAAAGATAGTTTAATGTTTTAAGTCTGATAGTTACTATGAGTAGAATTATACACTTTTCTACTAACATTACAGCAAGAAAAAGAATAGTATTGAACCCTGATTGTTTCTGTTCCTGAATTTTATCTTTTTGTTTGTGAAATAACAAGAAATATCTTTATTGATGCTACCAGTGTCGATATGATTACAGCAGCATTTTCTGATGTCTCTGCTGGGGTGACATTCCCCAAAAGAGCCCCAGGATTTATGCAGTATGTGTCTCCTGCTCTATTACAAGCAGGACGGGTAGACCAAACAGATGTAGTGAACCTTTGGTTATGCACCTGGCAAAGTAAATGTTATTTATCTGAGAGCCTGGTTGCAGCAAAATGGCAGAGGGTGTTGCATTAGTTCATCAGTACTCAGTATGTCCACGAGCATTTTTGGCCTTGCTATTTGCATTTCAGTTCCGCATGGTGTTTCTTTGCCATACAGAGGGTTGGCCAAGCTCCAGGAGAGCAGCGACTCTCCTAAGACCCACAGCTGCATCTTGGAAGACCGAAAAATCAAGATGAAATGATGGACTTGGTCCACCACTCTTCACCAGGGACCTGAAGGCATTCCAGATAAGGTGAATTTGCTCCTGGATGGAGAAGGCCTGGTGGGGGGCTTTGCCACTTCCAGGCCTGGGGCAGCTCAGGGTGCACAGCCTGGATATGAGAGTGGGCTCTGCCATTGCATATTCTGCAGCCTGTTGTACCAGAGTGCTCTTTCCAGCTTCTGTGGGGACTGCATCTGTATAAAAAACTGTGAGATTAGGCCTAAATTAGGAAGGGAGAAACATCTGATCATTTTCTTGCTAGAAAAAAAATAATATGAGAGCAGATAAGTATTAATAAACTGTTGAGTGATTCTTATTTTCTAACGACCCTCACATAAAATTAACCCTAGTTAATGTTCTGCGGTGGTTCTTGTCAAAATCTGAAGGAACTATTCCCAAATGGGAATGTTTACCTACTTCTGCATTTAGGATATGTAAATGTATACGTGGAAATATTGATGAGGAGTAGACTAGATCATGTGAGAACTGGGGATCCCACTTTAGGTAGGTTTTGTGTCTTAGGCTGATACACTTATTGTATGATACTGTATATTTACACTTTTATTTATATAAATAAAACTTCTTTTAATGAAAACTGTTTAATATGCCTTGTATATTACAAAAAAGTGAGTGCAATAACATGAAATAGATTGTACATTTTTCAATTTTCTGTCTCTGTTATGTAAATCTGTGTTGCCATAAACTGTTTTGTTTGGGTTTTTTAGTGATTTTAAAAATAAATGGTATCCTTAGTACTCCTCTAGATATTTATTTCTGTTATGCCAAAGTCTGTCTGGTCCACAGCTGGGACTGGCATTGCAGGAACAAGGTTGTTAGGGAGAGCAGAGACTGTTAACACTGTCCAGATGTGGATCTAAGCTGTTAAATAGCTAAGCTGGAAAAATACCACTTTGAGAGCTGCCATTCAGCTTGAAGAGGATTTAAGAAGTGTTAGAAGGTGTTTTATAGGACTGGCCGTGGTGTCTTGGAAGATGTGCCTTGTTTTTTCCTGCCCCTTTGCGGATGGCAAAGGTGAAATGTAGAATTTTCAGTAAGAGCAGCAGTCTCCGAAGCGTGTCACCTATGAACTGTACCTCCGGCCCAGCCCCTCGGCTATAAGGGAATGTGTTGTACATGTAGGGAATACGTATATACAACTAGTCCTAGGCTTGTATTTGTTGTTGTCTTCCACCTACCCTGGAAATAAGCTCTCCTTCAGAGCCCCACTGAGCCAGTGGAATGCGCTGGGCTGGAGATGATTGCTCTGTGGATGGAGTGGGGCTGCAGTGGAGCTCATTAGGGGAAGTGGACACCATAACCTCCAAACTGGGAGAGTTTGCATCAGGTGGTCCACAGGCACAGCTTGCTTCACCAGCACTGCAGGGCAGCTTGAAGCAAGCCTGCATGAGGATGAGGAGCACAGAAGGTTCTGGATGCCTTCCTGTCAGCGGCTCTGACATGGGGAGTGCCAGAGGTGCCCAAAATCCTGCACTGCCTGGCAGAGCACGGACACGTCAGTTTGTCGCTGCAGGGCAGGCTGAGCTGGAGCATGGAGCTTGCCGCTTCAAGTGTTTATATCCACACTTCAAGCCTGTGTGCATTGCTCCGTGTCTGAGCGCTGGGCTGGGCGCTTGCTGCA